GTGTCTGAGGTCACGAGAATTGTTACTCATGGGACCAGACACAGATTGTTACTGAGGGAACAGAATTGTTACTGAGGGACCCTGAATTGTTACCGAGGGACACAGAACTGTTACTCAGGGACACAGAAGTGTTACTCTAGGGACGTCAGAACTGTTACTCAGGGGACCACATGAATTGTTACTCTGGGACACAGATAACTGTTACTCAGGGACACAGAATTGTTACTCAGGGACAGAGAGACACAGGAATTGTTATATTTAGGGGACACAGAATTGTTGCTGAGGGGACACAGAATTGTATGAGGGACACAGAATTGTACTCAGGGACACAGAACTTGGAACTGAGGGGACACAGAAATTGTTATCAGGGACAACAGAATTGTTACTCAGGGACACAGAACTGTTACTCAGGGACACAGAATTGTTACTCAGGGACACAGAACTGTTACTCGGGACACAGAATTGTACTCAGGGACCAGACACAGAATTGTTACTGAGGGCACACAGAATGTTACTGAGGACACAGAATTGTTATCAGTGAGAGGACAGACACAGAATTGTTACTGTGGTGGACACAGAATTGTTAATCTGAGGGACAACACGAATTGTTAATCAGGGGACAGACACAGAATTGTTATCAGGGTACACAGAATTGTTCGTAACTCAGGGACACAGTACTGTTACTCAGGGACAGACACAGGTAATTGTTACTGAGGGACACATTGTCAAAAAAAAAAAAAATTGTTACCTGAGGGGACACAAGAATGTTAACTGCAGGGACACAGAATTGTTACTCAGGGACAGACACAGATTGTCTACCCCCCGATGGGACACAGAATTGTTGCTGAGGGACCACAGAATTGTACTCAGGGACAGACACAGAATTGTTACTCAGGGACACAGTAATCGTTACTTAGGGTCACAGAATATTGAATTTAAAGAGTATGTCATAGGACAACACGCAGGAGGAGTGCGCAGAGGAGGCAATGTTTCAGGAGCTGAGCAAGGACGTGGGCAGAGCTGAGGAAGGTGGTCGAGGCTGCACTAGTCGCAGCCATAGGCCAGTGATTTCCGGTGTCATCCAGCGGTCGTGTCTACACCGACAACCCTGCCGTTATCGATTTGGTTGGCTCGGTCGTCTTCCTCTTCCAAGGTCACCTGCTGACCCCTACCAGCCAACGGTCGGTGGGTACGTCAGACCAACCGTTAGTTGCATGGTCCTCGGGAGCAAGCCCACTGAAAATCACGTGTCCTCTTACCTGCCCATGTCATTTGGTGGTTCCGTCACCAAGCGAAGTAGCTATCAACTATTGCTGTGGGCTTCAAGCCCACCTGCTGCTGTGAGGAAGAGCTAACAAGAGGGCGGTCAGCTGAACGGAGGGAGTCAATCTCGCCTCTTCAGCAGCCAGGCGGAAGATGTAATGGCGGAGGAGGAATGGGGGTCGGGTATGTACGGTCTAGAGGAACAGGTCTGTCTCCATGACCACACACGCAGCCGAGGGGGCTATGTAGTGAGGCGGAGACCCTAATTGATGATGATGAGAGGCTGCTCGCATTGGCCAGGCCTCGTCGGTCATTAGGCTATTGCTTCCGCATCATCAGGAGAAGAGGGCATGCCGCTTGCTGCTGCAGCGAGCAAATCAGTCGGTGGGGTTGCCCACGAGGGCAGCAGGGTCGCAGCAGTGTCTGTGGAGGCAAACGGCCCGGAGTAGAGCACCAGCTCCCACTGCAGCGTACACCACGGCCAGTAGTGGTGCTCGGTGTGCACGGAGGGAATGCAGTCAGCCCAGTGAGGGAGTAGCGGTGGGCTAATGTTTCATACTCACAGGCGGTGTGGCAATTTTTCGTCAAGCCGCTCGAGGATGGAAGATTACGTAGCCGTATGTCGATATGTGGGCCAGAATCGTCAAGCGTGGCAGGGGGCCCATGTTGGGATACAGCGTTGTCGTCAGCATATGCAGTGTCGCCATTCGGTGGCCTGGGAAAAACCGTGATAAAGATACGGCGTGTTATGCCTGCCCCAGCCTCCTCTCATTCACCCGCTCCGTTACTTGCTCAGTCACACCGACACTCAAATAGCCTCTATCAGCCAGTCAAGGCTCCTATCACCTCTGCTGAGGGGAGTTGTCGCTCGTTGGCATCTTCCGCTCGTTCCGATGCTCCTTCTCCTGCTACTCCTCTTCACGGATTCGTCAGCAGTCTTTATTGGAATCCGTTTCCAGAGAAAAAGTTTGCGAGCTGTACGCACCCAGACGGTGCAGAAGCTTGAACGTCCTCCTGTCAAGTTGCTTGTGCATGCAGTTCCTCCTTTACACTGTGGTGGACTCAGCACCTTTCCGAGAAATGATGGTTGTGCAGCGTACGCGGTGGAGAGTGCCAAGCCGGCATTTTCTTCGCCAAAAAGGCAGTGCCAGCCGTGCCGATTCACATGTAGAAGAGATGGTGGGCCAGTCTTTGAGCATAGTCGGTCTCTGCCAAACAGTGCACAGGCAGCGCGACGTGAGGAGCTGTAATACGGTCAGGGACCGTAACATGTATTTACGGCCACTGGGTGAAACGTGGTGCCGGACAGCCGACACAATCAAACTTGGACCTGGTCCACAGCTTTTGCTTCCTCGTTTGCTCACGTCCTTTGTCAGAAAAGTTGTCCGCCTCTACACCTCTTCTTCCGCAGGACTGGATATGCGGTCTGAACGACGTCCTCTGCGCGCACCCCCGTGCCAAAGTCAATTACCCCACCGGCATATCCACATGTGCAGGGCGCAACGGTGTCGCGCTGTGTGCACATCACATGGTATGCCTTGGGAACGTAGTCACACTCAGGGGAGGAAACTTCTGAGTGTAATGAACAGAGAAATCGACTAGATGGCTGTCTCTGCGCAAAACTTAAAATCGGACCATGTTGCCGACAACGGAAAGAAATGGTGTCTGCTCTGCGTCCCAGGAGGTTGTGCCTGCGCCAGACATGGCTCACGTGTTCAGTGGAGATTGGTTGTCAAGCGGTTCCTAAACATCCCATCCCAACTGCACAGACATCATCCTTAAAATGTCACATAAACTTTGCATGCATTTCAGCATTCCTAAAACCGGCAAAGCAACCCGTCCTTGAGCTGCAGCGGCAGAACGGGCAATTCCACTGCATTCGCCTGAATCTGCGCGACGTTTGCAACAAGGTGGAATTCAACCTCTACATATGTTAGACCACCTTTAACGAACAGCGAGAAGGCCATCACCGATTACTGATGTTCCATGCGCGATAAGGTACTCCTCTGTGTAACTTAGGATGTCAGCCTTGGCAGCTCAAATGCGTGACACCTGCCGCTTGTCAGGCCCTTTGACGGAGGCCACGCTATTCGTGAGTCGGCAGGAGACTATGGGATGAACGACGTCATTCAGTCTGCTTGCATGTCCTGGAACAATGTCTGTTAACAATGGTGGTCAGGGTGCGGTAGCGTGGCGCACAACTGATCTCAAACGCCTCACATTGACCATCATGTGGGAGCAGGGACAGGAAGAAGAGGAGGAGGTAGAGGAGGACATTGGTGCTCAGGAATTATTGAGTGACAATGGGTGGGTTTTTTCCACTCTGCGGACAGGAGTGGAGGAGCAGGAGCATTGGTAGAGGAGGAGGAGGAGACAGAGGACCCAGACGCCACCGTGGCCAGTCGGAGCGCTGTGTTGGATGGAGGCAGGGATGTCCTCTAGCATAATCATTGGCACATACTGGCCATGTAGGCATGCTACGGTTGCTTGGTAGCGACAGACGTTCCCGATAAATGAACCATTCAGTCGTGGGATGACTTTTGGGCTGTCCACTTGTTGGACCCTCGTCCGTTCAAAAACTGGTTGGCCATTGTTTTCACACCTGCTGAGAGGGAGGCCAAATAACATGTACTAATAAAAACCACTATATAGTCTGTTGGTGCTCTGCCTTTAAGTGCTGCGCCAACGTCCATCCTCAGACACTGTGGGCCCTGTGTGCTCGTCGGTTCCGCTGCCAGGTCAGCCAGGGGTCATGGGGTGGGGTGTAGGAGAGTTGGCAGCTCCACAGCAGCTGCGGCTGCCTCAGTCTGCAGTCGATGATGAGCCAGCTTTCTTCACCAGCGCAGTGGTAGGAAAACTACTAACCAGCCGCTTAGCAGCAGCCAGCATCAGGTGGACCTGGAGCAGGACCCGTAATGCAACAGGCTTGGGCCTACTTGAGGACAGCACCATGCCAACTGCAGGTAGGACCATTCCCTGGACTAATGGGGTCTGTACGAAACTTGGACCTTTGGCAACCAACTAGCTGAATTTGCCTTGAAAGGCTGTCTGCCCCGGCCTGTAGCTGTGGCATCGGTGCTGCGTGGTTTTAGTGCGGGTGCAGGAGGTATGTGTAACTCCGCGGAGGGACACGACTGTCCACCCGTTAAGTGCCTGTGGAGAGACCACGTTTGTGTAAAATGAAAGGTCAGAGGTGGATTTTGTCTGGATTTCTACGGCCACCAGTTCCTGACACAACTGACTAAATCCGAAATGAAACATGCAGCCTAACCATGTTATTATTTTTAACACAGGCTCTGTATGGCCTTCAATTTAAGCTGCTTACGCTTCGCACTCTGCCATGGGTGCCAGATTACGGGCTCCCCATTGTACCCGTAAGTTTTGCATGGGCCCCGTCCTCTTGCTGCTGCCAGGTCCAGAGTGTATTCATGGGTCCTGTACAGGCCTCCCATTGCTGCTGTCTCCATCGCCACACTCTGCCATGTGCCACTTTCAGGTCTCCTCACACTGCTGGTGGGTTCATTTTGTCATAGGGTGCTGGCAGATTACGGGCCTCCCTTGCTGCTGCCAGGCACCGTAATCTGCCATGGGCCCGTATCCGACCATGCTGGCAGCCTGGCCGCGTAATCTGCCATGGGGCCCCGTTACGCCTCCTCATGCTGCTGCCAGGTCCAAGAGTGTCTCATGGGTCCCTGTACGGCCTCCCATTGCTGCTTGTCTCCATCGCCACACTCTGCATGTGCCACTTTCAGGTCTCCTCACACTGCTGGTGGGTTCCCATTTTTGTCATAGGGTGCTGGCAGATTACGGGCCTCCCATTGCTGCTGCCAGGCCCGTAATCTGCCATGGGCCCCTTGTACCGCCTCCTCATGCTGCTGCCAGGTCCAGAGTGTCTCATGGGTCCCTGTACGGCCACTCCCATTGCTGCTGTCTCCATCGCCACACTCTGCCATGTGCACTTTAGGTCTCACTGTGGTGGGTTCCATTTTGTCATCGGGTGCGCTGCAGATTACGGGCCTCCCATGCTGCTGCCAGGCCCGTAATCTGCCATGGGCACCGTACGCCTCCTCATGCTGCTGCCAAGGGAGGGGTGATCCAGACGTGCTGTCATGGGTCCATGTACGGCCTCCCATTGCTGCTGTCTCCATTGCCACAACTCTGTCATGTGCCACTTTCAGGTTAATCCTCACACTGCTGGTGGGTTCCATTTTGTCATAGGGTGCTGGCAGATTACGGGCCTCCCATTGCTGCTGCCAGGCCCGTAATCTGCCATGGGCCCCCGTACCGCCTCCTCATGCTGCTGCCCAGGTCCAGAGTGTCTCTCATGGGTCCTCATGTACGGCCTCTCATTGCTGCTGTCTCCATCGCCACACCTCTGCCATGTGCCACTTTCAGGTCTCCTCACACTGCTGGTGGGTTCCATTTTGTCATAGGGGTGCTGGCAGATTATACGGGCCTCCCATTGCTGCTGCCAGGCCCGTAATCTGCCATGGGCCCCCGTACCGACTCCTCATGCTGCTGCCAGGCCCGTAATCTGTCATTGGCCACCTGTACCGCCTCCTCATGCTGCTGCAGGTCCAGAGTCTCTCATGGGTCCCTGTACGGCCTCCCATTGCTGCTGTCTCCATCGCCAACTCTGCCATGTGCCACTTTCAGGTCTCCTCACACTGCTTGGTGGGTTCCATTTTGTCATAGGGTGCTGGCAGATTACGGGCCTCCCATTGCTGCTGCCAGGCCGTAATCTGCCATGGGCCCCCGTACCGCCGCCTCATCTTCATGCTGCTGCCAGGTCCAGAGTGGGTCTCATGGGTCCCTGTACGGCCTCCCATTGCTGCTGTCTCCATCGCCACACTCTGCCATGTGCCACTTTCAGTGTCTCCTCACACTGCTGGTGGGTTCCATTTTTGTCATAGGGTGCTGGCAGATTACGGGCCCGCCATTGCTGCTGCCAGGCCCGTATTGCCATGGCCGGCCCCGTACCGACTCCTCTTGGCTGCTGGCCAGGCCCGTAATCTGTCATGGGCCCCTGTACCGCCTCCTCATGCTGCTTGCCAGGTCCAGAGTCTCTCATGGGTCCCTGTACGCCTCCCATTGCTGCTGTCTCCATCGCCACACTCTGCCATGTGCCACGTTCAGGTCTCCTCACACTGCTGGTGGGGTTCCATTTTGTCATAGGGGTGCTGCCCTGATTACGGGCCTCCCATTGCTGCTGCCAGGCCCGTAATCTGCCATGGGCCCCCGTTTACCGCCTCCTCATGCTGCTGCCAGGTCCAGAGTGTCTCATGTTTAGGGTCCCTGTACGGCCTCCCATTGCTGCTGTCTCCATCGCCACTCTCTGCATGTGCCACTTTCAGGTCTCCTCACACTGCTGGTGGGTTCCATTTTGTCATAGGGTGCTGGACAGATTACGGGCCTCCCATTGCTGCTGCCATGGCCCGTAATCTGCCGATGGGCCCCGTACCGTACTCCTCATGCTGCTGGCCAGGCCCGTAGTTCTGCAGGGCACCTGTCCGCCTCCTCATGCTGGATGCCAGGTCCATGTGGGTCTGTCATGGGTCCCCGGTACGGCCTCCATTGCTGCTGTCTCCATCGCCACACTCTGCCATGTGCCTCTTTCAGGTCTCCTCACACTGCTGGTGGGGTTCCATTTTTGTCATAGGGTGCTGGCAGATTTCGGGCCTCCCATTGCTTGTGCCAGGGCCCATAATATGCCCAAGGGCCCCGTACCGCCTCCTCATGCTGCTGCCAGGGACAGAGTGCTCTCATGGAGTTCCCTGTACGGCCTCCCATTGCCTGCGGTCCATCGCCACACTCTGCCATGTGCCACTTTCAGCGTCTCCTCACACTGCTGGTGGGGTTCCATTTTTGTCATAGGGTGCTGGAGATTACGGGCCTCCCATTGCTGCTGCCAGCCCGTAATCTGCCATGGGCCCCCGTACTAATGCCCACCGGCCCTCCTCATGCTGCTGCCAGGTCCAGAGTGTCTCATGGGTCCCTGTACGGCCTCCATTGCTGCTGTCTCCATCGCCACACTCTGACCATGTGCCACTTTCAGGTCTCCTCACACTGTGCTGGGTTCCATTTTGTCATAGGGTGCTGGCAGATTACGGGCCTCCCATTTGCTGCTGCCAGGCCGTAATCTGCCATGGGCCCCCCGTACCGACTCCTCATGCTGCTGCCTGGCCCGTTTATCTGTCATGGGCCCCTGTACCGCCTACTCCTCATGCTGCTGCCAGGTCCAAGAGTGTCTCATGGGGTCCCTGTACGGCCTCCATTGCTGCTGTCTCCATCGCCACAAACTCTGCCATGTGCCACTTTCAGGTCTCCTCACACACTGCTGGTGCGTTCCATTTTGTCATAGGGTGCTGGCAGATTACGGGCCTCCCATTGCTGCTGCCAGGCCCGTAATCTGCCATGGGCCCCCGTACTGACTCCTCATGCTGCTGCCAGGCCCGTTTATCTGTCATGGGCCCCTGTACCGCCTCCTCATGCTGCGTAGCAGGTCCAGAGTGTCTCATGGGTCCCTGTACGGCCTCCCATTTTGCTGCTGTCTCCATCGCCTACACTCTGCCAATGTGCCACTTTCAGGTCTCTCTCACATGCTGGTGGGTTCCATTTGTCAATACGGGTGCTGGCAGATTACGGCCTCCCATTGCTGCTGCCAGGCCCGTAATCTGCCATGGGGCCCCCGTACCGACATCCTCATGCCTGCTGCCAGGCCCGTAAATCTGTCATGGGCCTGTACCCCGCCATCCTCATGCTGCTGCCAGGTCCAGATTGTGTCATGGGTCCCTGTACGGCCTCCCATTGCTGCTGTCTCCATCGCCACACTCTGCCACCATGTTGCCACTTTCAGGTCTCCTCACACTGCTGGTGGGTTCCATTTTGTCATAGGGTGCTGTATGGCCCTCCCATTGCTGCTGCCTGCTCCACCGCCACACTGTGACTCCACACTCTGGTTTTGGCACCGTGACTGCCCAAATGAGTGAAGTGTGCGGTGATTCTAAGATCGACGGCACTCATCTGCATGTCTCATACTGACTGACAGTATTAGTGTATTTCTCTTCCCCAGCAGACTCCAAGGGCATTTAAATTAAAGGTACAGTGTTCTCTGCACTAATATAAAGGCTCTCTGAAGCCTAGAAACACCCTTTTTATAAGTTAAATTCGCAGCGAATATATTCGACTCGAATCAAATTTATTCCTCGAATTCGCCAATTTCAGCCGATATCGAATTTTTGAATACTTCGCTCATCTCTAGTCCTTACAGGATGTCTCCAGTTTACAAGCCAACCTCAATGCACTGTTTAATTGGGCAACCACATGGCAAATGAGGTTTAATGTTGATAAATGTTACTGCACTTAAGGGCTAAGAATATGCATGCATCATACATACTAGGGGGGGGTACAACTGGGGGAATCAGTGGTGGAGAAGGATCTGGGAGTTCTGGTAGATCACAAGCTTAGTAATGGCATGCAATGCCAAGCTGCGTTTCTAAAGCGAGCAAAATCTCTCTTGTATTAAAAGAGGTATGGACCGCAGAGAGAAAGATATCATGTTACCCCTGTACAAATCACTACTAAGACCTTATCTGGAATATTACAGTTCAGTTTTGGGCACCAATTTACAAAAAAGGATATCAGGGAACTGGAGAAAGTGCCGAGAAGGGCAACCAAACTGATAAGAGACATGGAGAAGCTCAGCGATGAGGAAAGATTAGAGGAATTGGATTTATTTTCTATTGAGCAGAGGAGATTAAGAGGGATATGATCAACATTAAGGATGCACCAATACTGTTTTTTTAATCGGCGAGTATGAGTCAAGTACACAATACCGAGTACCAATACTTTGCGGAGCAATTTGAGTTAATGGACACAAATTGCACCGCAAAGGATAGCATGCAATTTGAACAAGAATGCGATGTGGAATAGACTCCCTCAAGAGTTGGTTCTGGCCAGCTCAGTAGATTGCTTAAAAAAGGCCTGAATTCTTTCTTGGATGCACAGAATATAACTGGGAATATCCGATTGCCTCTTGGGAGATCAGGAAGGTTTTTTTTTCTCCTGCAGGAGCAAGTTGTATCATACTTTGCTGGGGTTTTCTGCCTTCATCTGGATCAACTGTGAGTATAGGATGTAAATTTTGACCCCTTTTATGATTGAGCTAGACAGACTTGTGTCTTTTTTCAGCTAGACTAACTAATTATCTGTATAATGTGATCCATATTTAACTTGGAATACAAGTGAGCAACATGTGTTTTTGTGCTGTCCTCTTTGATACAGATACTGCAGGCTGCATCTTTGTCATGCCTTGCACTCAGATCACCAATAATCCTGTAATATACACTCACCGGCCACTTTATTAGGTACACTGGTTTAATTGCTTGGTATCCCCATATATCAGGTGTTCCCATCACAGTATCCCCATACATAAAGTGTCCCCATCACAGTGTCCCTATACATGAGGTGTCCCTAACACAGTATTCTTAAACATTACGTGTCACCACTACAGTGCCTATATACAGTACAGTTGTGCCTACCCCCTTCCCTCTTGTACTACAGATCACAATACTGTTTCTACCTTTCATGAACTCAGCTACTCCTTCCTGTCCCCACTGAGACCGAAGTAAGTTCTCCAATACATTGGGTGTTCCCCAACACAGTGATCCCATACATCAGGTGTCCCCCATCACAGTGTCCCCATAGATTTGATGTTCCCCATCACTGTGTCCCCATACATCAGGTGTTCCCATCACAGTGTCGCCATACATCAGCTGTTCCCTATCACAGTGTCCCCATACATCAGGTGTCCCCCATCACAGTACCCCTATACACCAGGTGTCCACCCCCATAGTATCCCCATTAATCAGGTCTCCCCACCACAATATCCCCATACATCAGGTGTCCCGATCACAATATCCTTACACATCAGGTGTCCCCCATCACAGTCTCCCTATACATCAGGTCTCCATATCACAACATCCCCATACATCGGGTGTCCCCATCACAGTGTCCCTATACATCAGGTGTCCCCCATCAGTGTTCCCATACATCAGGTCTCTCTATCACAATATGTGTGAGCACATAATGATGTAAGAGGGGGACTTCTATGTAAGGGGGATACATTGAGGTAAGAGTGATAGTATTATGTAAGGGTGGCTTATTGATGTAAGGGGGACTCTTATGTAAGGGAGGCAAATTGATGTAAGGGGGGAACATTGATGTAAGAGGAGGACACGGAGTCCCCATACATCAGGTGTCCCCCATGACAGTGTCCCCATACATCAGGTGCCCCATCACAATATCCCCATACATTAGATGTCCCCATCACAGTGTCCCCATACATCAAGTGTCCCCGGACAATATTCTCATACATCAGGTGTCCCCCATCACAGTGTCCCCATACATCAGGTCTCCCTATCACAATATCCCCATACATCAGGTGTCCCCATCACAGTGTCTCCATATCTCAGGTGCCCCCCCATCAAAGTGTCCCCATATATCAGGTGCCCTCTATCACAGTGTCCCCAAATATCAGGTGTCCCCATCAGTGTCACCACACATCAGGTGTTCCAATCACAATGTCCCCATACAAAAGGTGTTCCTATCACAGTGTCCCCATACATCAGGTATCCCCCATCACAATGTCCCCATACATCAGGTGTCCCCCATCACAATGTCCCCATACATCAGGTGCCCACCATATATCAAATGTCCCCCATCACAGTGTCACCATACAACAGGTGTTCCAATTGCAGTGTCACCATACATCAGGTGTCCCCCATCTCAGTACCCCCATACATCAGGTGTCCCCCATCACAGTGTCCCCATAAATCAAGTCTCCCCACCACAATATCCCCGTACATCAGGTGTCCCCATCACAAATATCCTTATACATCAGGTGTCCCCAGGGGCAGACTGACCATTTGGAAACTCGGGCACTGCCCAAGGGCCTGGGGTCAGTAGGGGGCCCCATGAGATAACCTGGTACCATTTTCATAGGCTTTTTTAAATTTTGGCCAAGGACACAGGGGCCCCATGATCCCCTATTGCTCGGGGGATCCCCAGTGTCCACAACTCATTAGCCCCTTCGCGCTTAAGGGTAAATCAAAACTAAATGCCTAAGCACAATTTTGCAACTTTGACATGTGTTATAAAACCGTACATATCATCGCATCTACTTTGTGCATCCAAGCGGATTATACCTTGTTTTTTCAGGACAAATTGGGCTTTTATTTGGTGGTGAATGGTAATGGATATCTCCTGATTTTTTTTTTTCTATCAAAGGAAAACTGGGCAATTCTCCTGATGATCACAGCGATACCACATACAGTATGTGTATGTTCATTGACACTGACACTGATACTAATTTGAAAAAAAAAATCCTGACCCTGTCCTTTGACCCAAACACTAACCCTGGCACTGATCTAGATCAAACCTTGAGCTAGGTTTTTCTTTTTCTAATAATTATTATCTTTTTTTTACACACACGGCGCACTCCCAGAACAGAGACAGATATGCAAATTAGCTTCCCCCGGAGGAAAGCCCAGTCCAGTGGGGCCGCATATTTGCGTACCATAGCATGAAGGGGTTAATTGCTGTTGCAGCATTATGGCTTGATTCTTTACATGATTAGACTGTTACTATTCCTGGTTATTCACTGGTGGAACGGTACTGCTAGTACAGCAAATGGGAGGAAATGGCTAAGCTTACTGTAAAGGTGTATTACATACTGTAAAACTAGATTAATATCTCATTTTCAAATTTTCTATAGAAAACAGAGGCACAAAATGGCAGTAGTCCTTCTGATCAATCAGCTCAGTGATATAAAGTGTCATTACACCCAGACTATGAAAAAACTCTCATTACATGCTATATAACAGAACGTGCATACACACAAAGCCACTAAAGCACTCATTTTGTGTAGAGTGAAATATACCTGGTTGATCCTGCCTGCAGCTGTCCCTTCCACCTTCTCTGTGTCCCCAGCTGAGATTGTGTAGGCTAGCTGTTGTCATATACTGAGCATGCTGCAGTTTTTTTCCGTTCTAATCTCTTCATTTCCTCCTTTTTCTTGTCTGTTCAGTCCACATGACTATTCAGTCATACATGTGGGCATGTACACAGTGGTAAATTACACTCCTGTGACATAAGTGTACAGATTTGAGTAGCTGAGACGTGACCTGTAGCAAAATGTAATCAGAAATGTAGTTTCAGTCCTTGTTATTAAAGATGTATTCAGTCATATATTCAGTCATAGGTATTCAGAGACATGTGCTCACCCATTAGCATCTAAAAAGACAGAGCAGCTTCCTCAGGCTGGACACCTAAGTGCCAATAAGATTTGTCACCTTTGGGGAAACCTGGAAGGAAATTGCTTGAGACAGTTTGGCTGCAGATGACCAGGGGGGCTCCGAGCTGTCTGGGTAGCTTTAAAGTATATACATAGATCAAAGGAATATGTTTAATCTCTCATAAAAGCTAAAATATTAGTTGCAGAGAGATGAAAATACTTCCTTCTGATTGGACATTCTGTAGGCTACATCTGCATGTAAAAACTGTATTTGTGGCCTATGTAGAATGCCAGAAAAATGCAGGAAATGGTTACGTGGCATCGGATCACGACAGCTGAACAGTGATTGCTACTGTCGCGATCGGACTGATGCGCTGGTGTCGGAAATTCAATCCCCGACTTGGTGATTCAAACCGTTCCTGGTCCAATCGACTTTGGGCATTTCAGGACCCAGAACATCCTGTGGGCGGGTACAGGAACACCCCCAGAGTCAATTGGCCAAGGACTCATGTCCAGCCCACATCCATATTCCCATAAATTGAGGACCTGAGGTATGGACATTGTGATTCGTATGGAGCCCGTCCTTATTGACTGACGGATCACAGACTTTCTCTGACTTGCTCCAGTCGCAGGATAAATCTTGGTAAAAGTTTTATTTCTGTTGTTTATTCCCTTTTATTTTATGGTCAATAGCCAATTGTGTGTCTTCTTGTATTTTTTGTATTTTCTGTAACGTTTTATACTTTG